TGAATAGTAGCAGTTAGTGTAACAATTACATCGGGTTTGTCCAACTGACAGTCTGAGAAGAGTAAGAAAGAAAAAAGAGAAAAAAGACAGTCGTGACACTAAAATAAGTTCTACAAAACAGTGCTCCAAAAGAGGGTAATGCCTTTCCCCACCAATCATAATTGGTTGGGTCCTTTTCATGTCTTATCAGATGATCTCACAGACACCAAGAGTCAAAATACAAAGTTTCTATATGCTTCCTTCCCCACGATGTTTTTTGGGAAACACTCATTTTCAGAACTGTATCCAGAGCATTCCTGACTCACCCAGACTCTGGTGTTTATTGCTAACCATCCTCTCTCCCAGCTGGCGTTTTGCTGAATCAAGCTTCATTTTGAAAGCCTTGGGGGGAAAAAAAAGATCATTTGGAACCTGTTCACAACCAACTGACTTACATATCTAAGTGTTTTCACACAAGCCATTTGGCTCACCAAGATCCTCTTGAGTAAGCAATATACTACGTTAATTAAACGTATCCAATAAGCTATGGAACGGTGCAGCAGTTAAAACACCAGCTGTTCAGGTGTGACTTGGCCGTGGCCCCCATAAGTATCATTTCATACAAGGCCAAATGCTGGTCCCGGTATTACACCTGGCATAAGTTTTGCACAGAAGAAAGTTCAAAGGCACCTGGATGCAGCTCACACAGACCCATGCACCAAGCTGCTACTGCAGCTTGCAGACAGAAGAGGCTGCCTGCTCCTCCATCTTTGTGAGGATTTAAGTTGTCACTGTACACTATCCATTTCTCTACCCCATCCCCAAAGCTCCTCTTGATATAAAAAAACCCCTGCAAATGCTGCTCTGAGCTGTACGGTGTATTTGGACTTCCTGTAGACTGCCTTCCTGTGCTGCAGAAATTCAGTATCCTGAGCGTCAGGCAACAAAAGAGCCTGCGGTGAATAAAGGACGGGTTCTGGCATGTTATGGACACACAGCCGTGTGAGCATGTGCTCCAAGGAAACCAAGACAAAAGACAACAAAATACAGCTGGGTCAGAGGTCTGGCATGTGGCAGGAAGATACAACCACTCTTCAGTCAAAGGTCAGGGAAGGTATATCACAGGCTGATACTAAGTTAGAAAATAGGGTATTACCCTAAATGCCACTGACCGGAGGGAAAACAAACAGCTCCAGAGGATTACAGCAGAGGGATCAGACAAGCAAAAATCAGCAGTAAAGTTGCTGGAAATTCTTACTTCAAATACTGGAGTGATACTTCCAAATTCAGGGCCAAATTCAGAGATTACATGCAAGGTGAGATAAGGTATATACCAAGAAGTGAAGGTCTATTGGATCCAAGTGTCAAAACTGTTGTACTTGGCCCACCAGTGTCCCATAGGCGATGTTGTATGAGGAAGAACAACAAATACGAGACAGCAGCAGAGGGGCAGGCGTTTGCTACATCTTCGTTCCATTCCTTCAGCATGTAAATTAGACTTCCTTATCCCCGCTTACTTAGGCAACCTTACCCATCTCATCAGAATTTGATCCTGAGTATGATTCAATATTCCCCTACAGCAGAGGTGGGCAAAACATGACCTGCGGGACAGATCTGGCCTGCCAGGCACTTTCATCCAGCCCACGGCACCCACCAACTAATTGTACCCTGCCTATCCCTTCCACCCCCATATATACCCCCCCACCAACATCCCTATTGTGCCTCGCTCCCACCCTTGTGAGTGGAAGAGCCCAGCCTGGCCAGCACACAGCTTCCAGGCAGGGCCAGAAGGGCCCAGATCTGCTCAGCTTCCCCAGCATCCCGCTTCCTCCAGGCAACAGGTAGGGAAGCAGTGGGGGCAGCAGGGGAGCTGCAGCTGGGCAGGAGCATGGAGGGGCTGGTGCTGGCAGCAGTGCAGAGCCCATGCCCAGGGGGGCAGCAGCAGCGCGGAGGTCAGGTGGGAGGGGTGTGGGGACCCCCTACACGCTCCCCGCATTGGCACACAGTCCCTGCAGGCAGCAGCAGCAGCAGGTGGTGGGCGCTTGTGCCCAGCACTGGCACTGCCAGGCAGCTCCAGCCCGTGCTGCATGCGGGGAGGAGAAGTGCAGCCTGGCTGGGCCACCTCTATCACCAGGGATCCCCACCGTGCATGTTCAGCTTCCACACTCGCTCCCTACCAGAGGGAAGGTCCACATGCTGGAGCTGGCTCCCTGCCACACATCCCAGGACTCCACCAGAAGTGGAGGGGAGCCCCAGCCCCTGCTTCCCCATGAAGTCCTGGGAAACTGCATGGCAGGAAGTAGTGAAGGCAGCCAGCTCCAGTGCGTGGAGCTTCCCTCCAGTGAAATGTGAGTGCGTGAGCTGCACATATGCAGTGGGGAGCCCCGGCAATAGAGGAGAGCCAGCCAGGCTGTGCTCCTTGCCACAATGTGCAGCACTGGCTGGAGCCACGCACCACTGGGAAGCAGCACCTGCACCGGGCACGAGCACCCCTGCCTGCTGTTGCTGCTGCCTTCAGGGACTGCATGCCATAGAGTAGTAGCGGGGGGTCCCCTCACACCCCACAAATCTCACACACCCTACCCCCAGAACCCCTCCAAATATACACCCCCCAACACACCTTATCGCCCCCCCACACAGCCACACCCTCTCACAAACCACCCCCCATGCCCCACCATACATACACACCCACACCCCATACATACATCTCCCTCCGCAACCCACCACACACACAATATACAAGACTAAGACTTTATTTTTGAGTTATTATCCAACCACCCCTATATACAGTATGCAAACAGGTGGTCTGTGGGTGTGTAAGAAGGAATAATGAACAGAAGTAGAGAAGGGACCCTGCCTCTCTGCACTGCATTTGTAAGATCGTTACTAGAACACCGGTGTCTACATTTTGAGGCAGATTTGGAAATAATGAAGAACGTTCAAAGAAGAAAAACAAAAATGAGGCTGCAAAGCAGACCTTATGAGGTAAGACTTAAGGTATTCGATCTTTTCAGCACAAAGAGAAGGAAGGTGGAGAGGGCACTTGATTGCTATTTTTACGTACCTAAACATGGAAACATCTTGTGATGTATACAGACCTAAAACAGCTGCATGTAACTTTCAGCTGGTATAAAGTGGCACAACTCAGTTGAAGTTACAAACAATGAATAGGGCCTTGTCTTTGCAGCCTTTTTATTGTGTACAGGAAAAGCATGTTAAAATGTTCCCAGTGGTCGGGAAGCAGCATCTTCACTGCATCCTTCCTGCCAGTCCCCAGAAATGCAGGCCTGCTGTAAGGGCAAAGGGTAGAATGGCAGAACTGCAAGTGCTCTCCTAGGGAGTCATGTATTGAACTTCCCCAAGACTGTTTTAGGTTACTGCAGGCAGAACCACCACTCATAACCTTCTTAATAGGTTGGTGCTCAATCTATCTGGCCGTTGGCCAAATGAGTAGCATGGGGCTGGTTCATGGGCATGATCCAGCACAGGATCCAACCCACAGGTGCAATCTGGCACACCGCCCTCATTCTGTGCACAAGATCCGCCTGCTGCATGACCCCATGTGCTGGCGCAATCCAGCGCAGGGCTATGTCAACCGGCCCACAGGACTCCCAGAGCTGTTGCAGTTAATGATGCCAGCCAAAGTTCAGGACTCGCAGAGACCTCAAGAGCTGAATGACATGGCAGGCTGGATCTGGCCCACAGGCCATAGGTTGAGCACCACTGTTAGACCCAGTTTCTCTCCCTCAGAGCCATGCTGCTGGCTGAGAAGGAAAGCTGAGCACTGTGTTCTCTGCCAAGTGATCTGCACAGCCATGTTCTCCCAGGATTTGCTTCTATCAAGAGACCGATTCCTGTCCCCTTCCAGGATCTTGTCTGCGTGTCCCATTCAGCCAAACCTGCTGGCTTTGATCTTTGATTGCTCATGTCAGCAACAGTGAATGAAAATGCATACTCTACAGGCTTCCTAGCTACAAATGCTCTGTATAGTGAAGTTGGTTTGTTAACAATACACTGAAACTTTTTATTGCTGGTGTGGGTGCTCTCAGCTTGTTGTTAATATGAAACATCTTACCTTATACACGTCATTGTCATTTGGATGAAGCACAAAAAATACTTCTATTTTTTTTGAGGGCTGTTCCTTTGCAAACTTGAGAACTTCATCGATCATAATACCTGCCACTTCATCCTTTGCGAGATGTAACTTCTCAATCCCTAATGCAGGGAAAGAAACTGAAGCAGACGGAAACTCAAGCAGACACTTCGCCATTGCAGTTTTGAGTACCTGCCAAAAAAATAAAAGGATTTTAAAACTAACTTTACTTGTTTACCATACAGAAGTGAAAATCCAATTGAATTGAACATCACCTTGTATTTATCACCAATAGAATATGGCCATACTACGTGGAGCACAGTTTTGCTTGCCAAATTGTGTCCTTTTGTCCATACAAGTTGTTCTTCAGAAAATGGTAGATGTTTTTTCAAGTTGTTCTGAAATTCCTTCTCAAGAGATGGTCCTCCTTTTCCCAGAATGGCTTTTGATACCTCTCCGACCTTTAGATCACTATGCATGCCAACAGAATTCACAATAATGTCGGTCTGAAAGAGAAGAAGACAATCTTTTAGCACGTTTCAGTTTGAGTATGCATGTATGCTAAGTCCACTGCAATCAAAACTCCCCTCTAAATGTTCCTGCATCTCAGTGTAAAAAAAATCCTGCTTAATATAGGTGTTGTAGTTGTGGTGGTCTAGAAATTATGTGAGAGGCAAGGATTTCTTAGCGTGATATCTTTTATTGGACCAACTATATAGCTGAGATAGAATTAGACAAGATTTCGAATGCAAGACCTTCAAGACATGCAAGACTGGCACTCCCAGTCTCTGGAGCCTACTAGAGCCCTTCAAGGCTCTGGTCCGCTCCCAAGGTTGGAGTGCTGACCAACTGACTGGCGCTCCCAGCCATGGGCATGCCACAAACCCAGTTTGCTACCTACTGGTACAGGGAGATCCCAGGACCATGATCCTGGGCTACCCCTGTACCAGCAATAGGCATGATTGGGATCTGATCCCCAATCCCACATTCCCATGCGTGGCATGACAGGAAGCTCGATGGTTGGACTTGGGGATCAGATCCCATTGCGCCTTTAACTGAATATCTTTCAATGGCCTCTGGGGTACTCGGACCTGGGGGAGGGGAATAACAAAATTGTGGCTGCCTCTCCTGCAGGAAAACGATATGGAGAAGATAATTCCCGAGCGCTCTCCTTCTTCCCTCAGTGCGCTCATGAGGGCAAATATAAATTGGAACTAAATATGCACAATGAAAGAAAAAACCTTTTCATTACCATGGTTTGATCACAAAGATAGAGACTCAGACCTTAACTTGGCTGTTCCAGGGTAACTAAAGATGCGTGGCTTTCAGGCACACCCATGTTCAACTTCTTGAAAGGAATGAAATACTCTACTGCCTTATCTAATTCACTCATGCAGGTCCCCCTGCCAGGCATTTTGCTGCCTCTTATCTCCACACCTTAAAATTATGTGCATCAGGGGGAATTGAGGCATTTCTTTAACACACAAATTGTGGAAAAATTCTGTGAGATGCATTAGTCATCAGTAGCAGGCACTATTGTTACAGCTGCCATGTAGCTTCCAGCCTAATCCTCCCTTCTGGTTTATTCCTAACAAGGCTTAACAAAAAATATCTATCTATCTATATATCTATCTATCTATATATCTATATCTATATATATATATATATATATAATTAAATAATTTAAAATAGGTATATAGAATATTAAATAGTTTTACGCCTTGCTGCATAGGACAGGACATAAAGCAATGGCTTCATATTGCAGCAAAGCAGAGTTAAGATTCAATCTCAGGAAAAAGCTTCCTTACCATACAGTACGGCAGGGGAATTGACTGCCCAGGAAGCTGAAGAATCTCCATCACTAGAGCTTTTCAAAAAAAGAGGTTGACGAGCATGGGCTAGGGATGATTTAGGATTAGCATTCCTGAATTTGAGCAAGGGACCAGATGATCCCTGAGGTCCCTTCCAACTCTTACAATTTGATGAATTCCATTTTAAGTCACAGGGTGTTTTAAGGATGTTGGGTACAGTTGCTTTGTTTTTAAATAAAATATTGTCAGCTGTACCAGCCTATGCTGAATGCCCCAGCAGCAAGAAGAATTCATCCCAGTCCCAAAGAAAAGTGGAATGCCATAAAAGCTAGAAAAGCCACCTTGTAGAGAACATACGAAACCCTGTTAATTATCAAAATATTATACCAGAATCAATGTTAAAATAAGAGAGTAATATTATGAACTTTCCTGCTTCCGTCTGCTGTTATCTCTCTGTATTCTCAAGACAGCGTGTAGCCAGAAAGGAAATTTAAATTTTTTAAAAACTCAAAGTCATATTAAGAGATTAAGACTTTTTCTAGGTTAACCAATGCAAAGCCTGGGTGATTAAAGGCAGGAGGTCAAGAGGCACATTTAAGAGACCAAGAGGCCACTACGAGATGGTCCCTGATCTTCTAGCATCCTGCACCCTGCTGAGATGCAGATCTGTGCTCAGCACTTCACAGGATACAGGGCGAAGACTTACACGCTGATTTTCGATGAGCCCTCGTTTGATGTGTAGGGGAAGGCCATTGATGGTGATGGAATCTGGAGACGAGCTGGATGAAGCTGGCGCAGTGCCTTGAAGTGCACTGGTGTCGCTACTGCCCAGGCATGCTTCACAGGCCTGTTTTATTGCTGCAACTGTGGGCTCATCAATGTTCACCAAGCGGATTTCTTTCAAATGGGGAAATACTGGAGCCAGATCCACAAATGTTTTTATTGTGTGTACGATCACAGAAGCACACATATCTAGTGGGAAGCCAAAAATTCCTGAGGGAAAGGCCATTGATGGTGATGGAATCTGGAGACGAGCTGGATGAAGCTGGCGCAGTGCCTTGAAGTGCACTGGTGTCGCTACTGCCCAGGCATGCTTCACAGGCCTGTTTTATTGCTGCAACTGTGGGCTCATCAATGTTCACCAAGCGGATTTCTTTCAAATGGGGAAATACTGGAGCCAGATCCACAAATGTTTTTATTGTGTGTACGATCACAGAAGCACACATATCTAGTGGGAAGCCAAAAATTCCTGAGCTCACTGCAGGGATAGCCACTGACCCGATATAACTCTCTGGTTTATTAACATAGGTCAGGATGTTTGTAATAGCTACCTCAAGCTTGTGACAGCATTCATCCTTGTAACATGCCAGCCACCTGGGGCCTACAGCATGGATAACTGCCTTACAAGGAAGCTTGCCTCCACCTGTTACTGCTATGTCCCCAGCCTTGAGTGTCCCATAGCGTTCAATATGAAGTCTGCTCTGTTCTTTAATAGCTGGCCCCCCAGCTTCTGCAAGAGCCAAAGCAAGTCCTGCACCATGATTCAGAAATTCATTAGCTGCATTGACCAATGCATCAGCATTGTGTGTTGTAATATCATCCATCCAAACAGAAAGCTCAATTCCTCTTTTGGGGCTTTTCCTGTACACTTCAACGGGGCATGGTCTACCCTTAAAGACTGGCGTGCAGCCAAACTTCTTCCAAAGCAGGTCACGTAGACAGCCCTCTCTCTTCTTAAGGATTTCATAAACATCTCTATTGATGACGATGGTTACGTTTTCCTCCTCCATGGCCATGTTGGACTATATGGAATAAAATAACCTGGGATAAATGCAGCAATTTCATGTCAAAAACATCATTTTCAATGAAGACCAAGTTCAAACTTTTGATTTTTTTTTTTTAAATTGGTTTGGGAGGTTAAGCGCAAACTCGTTACCAGTCATTCCGACTGGCAAAGTTTTCTCTGCTCCCTTCCTACCTCAAAGCCACTATAAGACGGGCCAGTTATGGGCTCTTCTCATCAGTAAAGCAAGGAAGCAAAGGACTTCCAAATGAGAACTTCCTTATGAGCCCTAGCCTGGCCATTCTTGAAAACTTTTTCTCATCTACTTTCACTGTAACTCTCCTCCCACCCTGTCTTATGATTATGCTGATGCTGTTGTGTTTGATCCAAGTAGCTGCCACTCCCTGACTTCAGAGGGAACTCGTGCCCCCTTCCTCTGCCCACATCAACTTCCCTGCCGAGCAGGTCCCACCATCCCAGCCTTCTTTAGGGCCTTCCCTTCCTTTTCCTTTTCATCTCTTTATGCTTCACCATTGATGTGAGTTTTAGGACACCGGAAACTCAACTTGGTGCATTTTAAGGAACCAGCAGCATTCTGGACCAGAAAGCTGGTGAACGCTTGGTTTTCTGTTCTCACGTTTTCACCCAAAAGACAACTGCAGTCCTGCAGCTGTATAGGAACAGGCATGGGGTATCCAGCTTAAGTTCCTTTTAGCCAATGTTCTTTGAGAGAGAACTGAGCAATTTTATCTTCTCTCCCTGGTAGCAGGGTATCTTCCTTGAAAGAGTCCCTCAGACACTGGCAGCAGTTAGTCCCTGGGTAATGCAGCTTGATTTCCAAATACTTATTGGGATTTGCCAGGCACTGTAATGCATGCCCTTTCAGTGGGGAGGTCGCCACTGCACCACTTGTCAGGTCCCCTGGATTCTGTTATCAGACCCTCAAGCTCTCAAGCCTTTTGTGCAAAAAACAGCTGCCTGGCATTACCCCGAGCTGCTACTGCCTCTCCCCAAAAACAACTTTCTCGAAGGTGCTCTAAGAAACACAGTGCAGCACGCAGCAGCAAAGATACTGCAGGCTCTGTGATGAAAGCAGCACTGGAGGAGAAACAGATGGGCAACCATCCCATAACAGTTGCTGCTTCAACAACATTTTATCCTACTTTGCATGGTGTATATTTGAATAACCAGCATTGATCTGGGAAGTTTATTATCCTGTTCCCATGTCATTACCACTGCCCAGTACTACTGTGACGGTAGGTTTCCATAGAACTACATACCCTAGATATCCTTTAACTTGATTGTGCAAATCCTTCCAGCTGATCACATTTTCCACTGAGGTATTTGCCTTAACATGGAACTTAAAACAGGCTGTTCAGCACTTCAATATTCAGAAGGTGCCCTGAATTTGGAGGAGTGTTGTTTTGTTTTGTTTTTAAATCAAAGCACCTTTGCTAAGCACAACTATACTGTACTTTTAAAGTGGCTAGCTATAAGTGGAAGCTACATAAAACTGATATCTTTATCTAGCTCACAAATGCTGGTTTGCTTTCAGTTACATGTATGCCTTCAGATGTACTTGTTTTATTTTAAGTGAATTTTCAGTTCCAATGGAACAAGTTAATACTGTATTTACCTGAATACAAGACAACCCTGAATGTAACATGACCCCCCAGTAAGTAGATTCTATTAAAGGAAAATTTATAAATGTATTATAACTTTCCATGTATGGAATCTAATTATTGGAGGATCATCTTAAATTCCACCCACCCACACTACTGCAGGTGATGGGGGCAGCGATGGGGCAGATGGTGGGGAACAGACAGTGCGGAAGGGCAGGTGGTAGGTCACGTGGTAGACAGACAGTAAAGGGGCAGCACATGGAGGGGGCAGTGGGGACAGGCAGTGTGGGAAGTGGTGGGGCAAGCAGTGTGCTCCCTGGCACATGTCCCTCTGCCCTCATTATGCCTACCCCTGCAGCCTCAGGTCCCTGACCCCCTTCCCCTGCCCCCTCCATGCCACTTCTGCCCCCTGCCCAGCCTTGGGTCCCCACCCCCGGCAAGTCTCTACCTGCCCCTCCCCACTTTCACCTTTGCTCCTTGTCAGTGGGCTCCATCTCTGCTGCAGACTGGGGCACTGCGCATGGCTCCAGACCAGCCCCATAGCAGCAGCGCAAAGCTGGCACGGCTGCTACAGGGCTGGGCTGGAGCACATGCACCGTGATCCAGCTTTGGGTTGGAGCCAGAGCCGAAACAGTTGCCTGCCCCCCACACCTCCCACTTCATACTTTATTGTAAGGCAAGGCGCTTGTTCCCCCATGTTAAAAGGGGAGAAGCCTCATTTTCTAACTGAGTAAATATGGTAATTTCTAGTTTGTTATAAAGTGGAAAAACAACTTACCTGAGTTGTCTTCTAGAGTTATAAGACTGTACAACAATATAAAAGGGAAGAAACAAAAGGGCAATGTGATTATGTAACACATTACTTATACAAAGAGACAGCTTACACATATCCGATTCAGTCAGTCTATAAGGTGCGGCGTCTACCCTGCCTTCTGTCAGACTTCAAACTAATGCACATAACTGCCTCTTCTCTTATATAAATACAGATGTATTGTAAGCGTGACTGGCAGCACCTTGTATTACAAGACTCTACTTTGAGTTGCTTCTAGTAGTGATGCTCGCTGTTGTGAATGGCGCAGGGCAGGTTCATGGGCCAGATCATGCCCTGCACACTGGGATCGGGCTCTGGGGGCTAAACCTCGACCCTCTGCCATTTCCCAGAATAAGCTAGGAAAAAAATGTTGAAGTTTAACAAGTTCTGGCAGCCTGTTCAGTAGAGTGCCCTTGGGCTGCCATGCTATAAAGCAAAGATTTGATATTTGGCACTGGATATTTTTCCCTTCCTCATGAAAATCTGTTCACATAATAGTAACAGGAATAATATTTATATCCTGACCTATCCAGAAAGGTTATGGGCAAGTTATAAATCTTTTTGATGCATTTCTTTTTGATGCATGATTCATACATACTCCATCTGTCCCTCCTTACTCCCAATATATGTCTAAGCCACATTTGGCCATTAAATTGCCCTCCTCCCTTCTGGAGGCACATGTCTATGGGACTATCTGGTTTATTTTCCTTATTATCTAACCAAGTTATATGTTGCCACCTATTAGCTATGAAGCTGCTGGTTTCTTTCAGACCAAATCAGTAAGTGGTCCAACGTCCACAACTGGACTTCAGAAAGCAGATTTCAACTCGCCCAGGGAACAGATGGGCAGGATCCCCTGGGAGACCAGTCTGAGGAGAAGAGAGGAGTCCAGGAGAGCTGGAGAAACCTATTTTAGAGAAACCTCACTGAGGGCACAGGAACAAACCATCCTGATGTGCAGGACGATTAGCAATTATGGCAGAAGTCCAGCTTGGCAGGGAGCTCTTCAGTGAGCTAAAACACAAAAAGGAAGTTTACAACAAGTGGAAACTTTAGCTATATGACTAGGGAGGAGGAGAAAAGTATTGCTCAGGCATGCAGGGATGAAATCAGAAAGGCCAAAATGCAGCTAGCAAGGGACATGAAAGGTAACAAGAAGGGTTTCTACCAGTAAATCAGCAACAAGAGGAGGATCAGGGAAAACGCAGGTCCCTTACTGAATGGGGGGAGGCAACCTAGTGACAGATGATAAGGAAAAGGCTGAAGTACACAATGCCTTTCTTCCCTTAGTCTTCACAGGCAAGGGCAGCTCCCAGACTATTACATCTGGTAGCACAGTTTGGGGAGAAGGTGAATAGCCAACAGTGATGAAAGAACAAGTTAGGGACTGTTTAGAAAAGCTGGACCCATCCATGGGGCCAGATGCAATGCACCTGAGGGTGCTGAGCAAGTTGGCTGATATGACTGCAGAGCTATTGGCCATTATCTTTGAAAACTCATGGCAATTAGGGGAGGTTCTGGATTGGAAAAGGGCAAATTTAGTGCCCATCTTTAAGAGAGGAAGAAGGAGGATCCAGGGAACTATGGACCAGTCAGCCTCACCTCAGTCCCTGGAAAAATCATGGAGCAGATCCTCAAGGAATCCATTTCTAAGCGCTTGGGGAAGAAGGAGGTGATTAGGAAAAGTCAGCATGGATTCACCAGGGGCAAGTCATGCCTGACCAACACCACTGCCTTCTATGATGACTGTCTCTGTGGATGCAGGGAGAGCAGTAGATGTGATATACCTTGACTTTAGCTTTTAATACCATCTCCCACAACATTCTTGCAAGCAAGCTAAAAAAGTACAGGTTGGATGAATGGGTCTAAGGTGGATAGAAAACCAGCTGAATCATTAATTTCAGAAGGTAGTAATCAATGGCTGGCAGGTGGTATCAAGTGGAGTGCCCCAGGGGTTGGTCCTGAGGCCAGTTTTGTTCAACGTCTTCATCAACAACCTGGAAGATGGCATAGAGGCACCCTCAGCAAATTCACAGGCGACACCAAGCTGGGGGGTGTAGTAGATACGCTCGAGGGTAGGGCTAGGATTCAGAGTGACCTAGACGAATTGGAGGATTGGACCAAGAGGAATTTCATGAAGTTCAACAAGGACAAGTGCAAAGTCCTGCACTTAGGACGGTACAATCCCATGCACCAGGACAGGCCGGGGGTGACTGGCTGGGCAGCAGCTCTGCAGAAAAGGACCTGGAGGGTACAGTGGACAATAAGTTGAATATGAGCCAGCAGTGTGCCCTTGTTGCCAAGAAGGCTAACAGCATCCTGGGCTGCATTGGTAGTAGGAGTGTTGCCGATAGATCAAGGGAAGTGATTATGCCCCTCGAGTCAGCACTGGTGAGGCCACATCTGGAGTACTGTGTTCAGTTTTGGGGCCCTCACTACAGAAAGGATGTGGACAACTTGGAGAGAGTCCCAAGGAAGGCAATAAATAGTTGGGGCTCTGGGGTATGTGACTTATGAAGAGAGGCTGAGGGAACTGGGTTTATTTAGCCTGGAGAACATAAGACTAAGAGGGGCTTTAATAGCAGCCTTCAACTCCCTGCCGGGGGGGTGCAAAGAGGATGGAGCTGGACTGTTCTCAGCGGTGGCAGATGACAGGAGAAGGAGCAATGGGCTCAAGTTGCAGCAAGGGCAGTTTAGGTTAGATATCAGGAAAAACTTTTTCACAGGGAGGGTGGTAAAGCACTGGAACAGATTCTCCTGAAGGGAGCGGACTCACAGGGTCTTTAGATTAACAAACACAGAGGGTTGTTAGGCCTCTTTTACCCTGCCAGCCTGCTTTTGGCAGACCAAAAAGGGATTCTTCTCCAGGTATTGGAGAAGTTAATGGAAGTGTAAAGTAAAGTTAATCGAAGTGTATGAAATAAGTTCCACAACATCAACAATAATAACAGCAAGCAGAATCACAAAGCCAGCTAGTATATACAGTATTTACAGAGCAGACGGCAACAACACCACACTCTTGGAGGATTTTATGCCTTACCCCACCACGCTGGGTACTAAGCACCTCAATCACAAGAGATGGGTGATACTTTACCCTTCCTCCTATGCAGCAGAACAGGTGGACCACGCAGGTGTGTTCTAACACCATCAGCAACACCCAAGATCCCAATCGTGCGCACCCTTGCACACACACTCTCTCTCTCCCGTGCCCCCATCTCATATAATCTCAGTCATGCACAAAGTCCAATCTCACACCCAGGTCATGACTCGCACAGGTTTTATGCTGATCATATCAGGCTACCAGTCAATCACCTCTCTCAACCAATTGTCACTCAAATCATTGGCTGAAAAACACCCTGACCTATGTGGCAGAAGTGGGAAGGGGAAACGCGAGACCCCCACAGCAGAGCAGGGCATGGCTGGACCCAGATCACCCCTGCCCTGCGCTGTCCAACCTCCTCCCATGAGCCTCAGGTTGCCAACACTGAATCTAGTCCAGGTTTCCAAAACACCAACATGCCCGCGACGCACACCGCGAGCGTGCCCACGTGCTGGCATAGATAGTTACAGATATACTGCGTAGACTTTACGTCAAGAAGGCAAAAGCACATTGCTATTACATTTCAAAAACCCACTGGACTACCGAATCAATGAGATTTAACATTTATCTTAATGAGCGCCCCATCATTTATCTCCCGGGTGACTCTCAGCAGCCTCCTGGGGATTTACAGGCTTCCCTCGCCAACCCCAGGAGTTAGGCTCCAACAAGTTCCCACGGTCGGCAAAACCGTGGATGGTAAAACTAAAGGCTTATGGGGGAAATGGGGTTAGGGACTTGAATACTGTACAGTATAGCGTATACAAATCAGTTTTACTCACCTTTACTACACGGGGTGGTCAACGGGACATACTTCTAGGGGTACTTAGGTTACAGGGGGTACGCTAGGAGGACACCCCGGTTTTCTGCCACCCCGTCCTCTATTGATACAAAACCCGGCCGCCTTCACGCCCTGTATTTTCCTCTTGGAAAAAATGCTTTCCACTTGAAAAACTGAGGCCATCAAGGCGACATAAAGGGTGTCGTATCGACAGAGGGCAACCGGCCTGTCCTCTCCGATGGCCACCCCACGGACAGGACAGCTCCCCGCCGCCGCCGCGCGCACCTCCGGCAGGGCCGGGGGCCACGGAAAGCCGCGCTTACTCGAGCCAAAACGGGACGCGTGGCTACCCACGGGCGAGGGGGGCCTGCACACCCCATTCCTGGAGGGCCACGCGTCCCCCCTGCCCATTTTGCCGGACTTCACCTCCAGTTGAACAGCTGGGAGGGAGGCAACACCCCCCCCCTCACCC